AAGGCTGAAATTCACAAACTGGAGCTACAAAATACCAGCCAGGGACGGAGCCAAATAAAACATGGGGGGACTCCGACTGCACTTCATGATTAATATACAGCAACATGTCCGTTAGACCAGGAATTCTAACAGCCTCAAAGAGAGATCAAAACACCCTTTGTTGTAGTATTGTTAAACAACTGGGAGCGAGAAATGCTTCTTCATCAATTGCAAATAGTCCAAAAATATACTAGTAGAGCCCAAGAGCTTCTTCCCACACATTTACGCCTAAGGTGCTGCTACCTGTGAAGTCACCTGTACACCCAAGAGCACCAAGTCTGTTTTCTGGAACTTGAGCAGCATTTGCCACTGCAGGTATGGTTATCCCAAATTAAATTGGGCAAGTTGTACATGTAGCGTACAAATGTGCTTTTCCTTTAGCAGGAATGACTGACATGAGAGTAGCTGAGGATAAGCAGTTCACATCTGTAAAACAGATTTTCTAAACTACTATTACTATGACCCCCCCCAAAAAAAAAGATGCAGCAAAGGCACCAATAGCAATGACACTGGTGAGCCAGTGGTATCATAAAAGCTGAATTGTACCTGTCATGAAGGATACTGTAAGGCTTACACTGAACAGTAAGTATAAATACTAAGCAGCAGCACAACCTAGTGAAGCCTTTGCAGTTTCCGCAGGACAGAGGATATGGCGAATTTATTGCATGTGTCAAACAAACAGTTGCAAAATTATTATTGGTGCATTACATTTGTATCCTGCCTTTTTTCTTCTTGTGAAGAACTCAAGGCAGCTTTCATAGCTAGGCGGATGCTGATGGAGAACATACACCTGCATTGCCATGGAATCTTCCCAATGAAAAATGAGTTGCCACTGTCATGATAGCAACCACTATTGTGGGGTGGTGTCCCCCCACTGCAGAACTGTCTGCATGTACAGTACTTTTTCCCATAGGAGCAGTGGTAGACATTTACGAAGGGAGAAGCGAAAGGGGAATAGAACTCAAGACTATCGCTGGGTTGTAGCTAAACGTATGAACCCCAGTGGCTGCATTCACACATAAGGAAACTTAACTTATTAAACCAGAATGAGCATGAGCTGCTTACTGGAACATGAGGCCCATTTGCCCCCACTTTCTTCCTCCCACTCAAGGGGCTGTGTAAACAAAGTAGACCTAGATAAGTTATTGTATCAGAACCCAGATTTATGGTTTACTATATACAAACAAGCCAGGATTGTATACTAGCTTTAAACCCACACTGCAGAGTGATAAAGGTAGACTTCTGACTTGTATTAAACACACCTAATAGCCAGAATGAAAGACAGGCTTTCTCTTTTCCAAATGGATCCCAAATTGTAGCTCATTTTTTTTCTGTCCTCCAGAATATAATGCAAGTCATTTAAGTGTCTACTTGTGCCCGAGACTGGTGGAATGGAAGGCAGGATCAGTGGGGACAGAGGCAAAGGAATCCGTGGAGATACAGCAGTCTTTTGAATCCTCAACAGGAAGCAACCCATACCACAGAATCATGAAACTGAGGCACGTGAGCATTATGATTTTACATTTGGGGTGAAGAAATCCCACAGCCACAAAAAACCACTGCTTTGGACACATACCCTCTTGTTCCAGCTATTAGATCAAAGCAGAAAGTTTACATTCCTTGTTCCTCCATGATCCCCAAGCAGCCCCAAACCTGCATAATTATTAAGAATTAACAGTGTGATGCAGCACAATACAAAATTCCAGCTTGCACATATATATGGAGAAATAGAAATAACTGGTTTATTCAGGAATAAGCATGGGCAGCAGGTTCTGGGTGCATTCACAATCCAGTCCATTGGATGTGATGATATACTTTGGAATTCAGCAAAAATCCCTTGCAAAAGACAGACACACAACCCTGCAACAATACTCACACAGACACACTTGTAGACACTGAGGCTCCTATTTACATACACCTGTGTGTGTGCACATTCGACGCACATGTGCTTGCTTGAATCTAAACAAAACTAATCCCTCACCTGAGCAGGCCGGCTTCTCTTATATCTGTAATTCCATTGCTCTGGGAACTGCAACAGCTCAGCGGCACTGCAGGAAAGGCAAGGAAGAACCAGATTCATGCAGCTCCAGCTGTTCCTGCTCTCTCTCTCTGAATCCTCCACACAGTGCAGGCTCAGACATTTTTTCCCTAAACTCTCTCTCTGACTCATTGCCGCCCAATCAGATAATGAGAGAGAGACCAAAGGAATGAGGTGCCCAGGGTTATTAATTCCTTTTCTTCTAGCTGGACTACACTCCCAAGAAATCTCTGGCTTTGGGTGGAATGAAGAGTAGGTTGCCCAAACCCAAACCCAAACCCAAGCCCTGCCCAAAAGCCATTTCCTGAGTCTGAAAAAGCATATGCTTCCTTTTAATAACAAAATATCCACAAGACTGTATTTGCTGGGGAAATATACTGAGAAGGTGCACCTATTGCACACAGAAATGATCCCTAGAGGAAAAAGGAATAGCTGCTACAACGCTTGGACTCCTGGAGGTGGTGGTGAGGTGACTGTTCCTACTCATCCACCATGATTGTCCAACTAGACTTCTCCTGCCTGTCCCTCCGCACCCCATTCATTTTCATAGCACGATGCTAGTGACCTGGTTCACACATACGGCTTACCCATGTTTACTTGCCCTACCCAGAGTTTGCTTGACAAGCAATCAAACAAGCGGCAGTTTGTTTTCTCAGTCAGTTTCTTTGTCTGCTCCTTCCCTGTAACCCAAATATCTCTGTAGTGCTTTGGTACTGGCATGCAGAAAGGTATGTGTGTGTGTGGGGGGGGGGGGTTCTTTTACTATTCTTGTGCTTTACATCTCTTACTTAGCAAAAAATACATCTTTTCTGTTTATACATAATTACAATCTATAATTTAAGCAACTTGCAGAGTTCATAACCCTAACAGTATAGGATATCTTTCTGGGATATTCATGATGCACAAAGTGTGGCTGGATTCACACAATTCAAAAATCAGAATTCAGCAACCCGTACTGTAACTAGGGTGATGTGAAAGCCCGTCCATAGTGTGACAGAAATATGTGGGGAACTGTGTACGGCGATTAAGAAAGCTGGCTATTCCATATACAAATTGCTGGCAAAATGTCTAGACATCATTGTAAGTATAGGATAAGGCCTAGAAGAGGGCCGATTATTTGGTTTGTTTTGTGAAGAAGGGAGCAATGATGATAGATTTGCTTTCTGTCATAAACAATCCCTTCATGCTAAGGATTGTATGGGGTTCTCAGTGCCAGTTTGCAAATCTTACCGGCACATGAGAAATGTCACTCAACCTGTCTGTTTTACTAACATTTCCTATCAGCAAGCAGACAGGAAGCCTTCTCAGATGCATTCACAAAGAGGCAAACAGAAGCCAGAGCTAAAAGTAGATTTTCTTTCTGTATGCTAGTGCCCCGAAAGAACGGAAACCATATGGAGGTTAAGCTATTATTCATCTAGCTGCAGTCTTCAGGTGGCTTCAAACTGAAAAGAAAAATTGTCTATAGATGTACCCAGCCACCATCTATTTTGTTTTTCACCATTTATGTTGCAACAGTGCTACTGATGTTAATAGTTGAACTGCCACAGTCAAAAGCATATTAGCATTTCTGTGTAAGAGCACACTGAAGCTGACAACTAAATTGTAATAATTCACTCTGGGGTGAACCGTTAAGCTTTCAGGAATGTCTAACAGTGTTTTTATCCATTGGAAAATTGCTATGAAGTGAACCTACTTAGCTCTAGCTCTAACACTGGCTTGCTCATATAGGGAAATAATATCCTGAAATCCTGGGTGAAGTAAGGCAGTCAGTAAGTTGCAGGAAAGCCATTGACAAAGTAACAAGAATTACATTAATGTACTGAAGGGCGTTTTCCGAGAGCTCTCTGATTTCAGTATTGGCTTTAACAATCAAAACTTACTGACGTAGTGGGAAAGCAAACCAATCACATACACCTCCTGAAGGTGGCCCTCTACTCCTCATGCTCATGTGGTTTTTCAGTCATCTCCCTTCTCCGCTCTCATAATCCTCACCACCCATAATATCAAATGAAACACAAAGCCTGCCCAAGACATTTTACTGCCTGAAGTAAAAGATGAAATGGCACCTCTCCAGAACCCATGCACAGATGGTAGCTGGGCTGGCAGTTGCATTTTACTGCAACACTTGGCAGGACAGCATTTTCTGCTGCACTTGAGGAAAACAGACTCACATCTCTCGATCTTCCAACCCCACACAACTACACTTCTCCTAGCATCTGCCATCCAAGGCTACTTTCTCTCCCCACTTAATGGTAGGCCTCGCCCTGTTCAGGCATAGTGTTTTAATGCCATCAACAAAAACATGCCAATAATTACAAACAGGATTTGTTAAAGAAGGTAAAGGGACTTGAGAACAACATCTGAACAATCAGACCTCAGCACAATGCCAGGAAGATGAATAACTTTTTGACATTTGTGCTACAGAAGAGTTCCACAGATTATTGTATTATGCTCAACTGGTTCTGGACACAGTAAATTACACCTAGCCAAAGCGTCCACGACCCAGCACAGAGAGAGTTGGATTATTCCCATTGCAACATATTAGGCATATGCTGTTTTCCCCTGGGTTTTTACTAGTGTGGACTTAGACGTTTATTTAGCTCAAATCATGTTTTTGGAACATGATTTTCTTACTAATTTAAATGATGAAGATCACGTCTTCAAAAACTGCTGTTCAGAGCAAAGGATGAGAACATAAAGTTAATTTCTGTTCTTTAAACAAAACATTCCAAACAGGACATCACTGAAAAATTAAGCTAAAGATACAAAACAAGAAATAGTTGTATAGAACCTTTTAGCCTTTTAGATACAGAACATCCTACTCCTTCTCTAGTTACCCCCAAAATAATGAAGTGTTGCCATGAACTACAGCCAAAAATAATATGGGCAAGCTTTTTAACTTTATTTGGTTATTACTTACTGTTACTTTTAGAGAAGGATTTATCATCATTCCAATTAGTACTTGCAGGATGAACCAGCTGTTCCGACAAATTCAACCAAATAGTGGTGTGTGTTTCAGGCTTTGCCATCCTGATTACCCAGTTTGCCACTTGGCTGCTTGTCAGTTTCATGTACCTGGGAATAAAAAGGCACAGGGAAAATTGCAGCTGCCCCTTGAATATGGGGCTTGGACATCTTTTCTGCAAATTGTAAATCCCGCAATCAAGTAATTTTACTGGGGAAGTCTGAGTTGCCAACCAGTCAGACATTTACAAGACTGATGGAATTTCACTCATCTGTCCAAGTGCAGAACAAGATACTGCCTGGGCTCAAGAAAGTGTGTTAGCAGCTTCAATGTGTGTGTTCACAAGGTATAGCTTTAGCCATTATTTATGTTACTATGGCCTCAATTCTTTCATTCCTCAGTATTCCTGCCCAATAGGAGCTGCACTGAAAGGAAAATTCAGCAAAGTGCCACAGTTGCCAATGAATTAGTTTGTACTTTTCTGGCTACACATTTTTGTGACACTCTTGTCTGAATTAGGGCTCATTTTAAGAATTCTTGAAGTTATGCTGAGGAACTATTTCCACCGTTTGACTGATGGTAGATAAGGTCCTTTTCTCTAGATTAGGAAAGGGCCTTTTCAGTAATGACAATTCATGCATGGATTGAGCTACTTAGAAAGGCTTGCTAGATGCCTATTTTGAGGTCTCCTCAGTATGAAGTAAAGTCACCCTACAAGGGGATTTTAGGCCTTCCCCGACAAAGAGCATTTCTACACTTTTAGATATTTGCAGGGCTGCTGTTAGTAGGACTGTTATCTTTGGTATATGGTGTTGTATATAGTAAATGGGAATACATAGTAACAAAATGGGTATTTTGTTTAGAACAGACAACTTGTTTAGAAGGGGGTGGAGGACAAGTAGACAAATTTTCTTTTATCATCAAAAGAATGGAAGGATTTTGACCTAAGAACCTCAGCCAGAGTCAAACAAAAAGATTTTCCCCCAAGGGCATTAAATGTCTTCACAGTGACTTGAAAAACACTGGGCAGTGCTGAAACAGAAATGGACTTACCCTTTAAAAGTGTTCAGAAGCCACAGTTTCTGCAAAATACAGCAGCCACAGTAATAACTGGGACCAGCCAGTCTGAGCATATCAAACCAATCTGGCTCACTTGCATTGAGGCCATCTTTGTTACCCTCACACTCTCCTCAAAGCAATTTCCCTGTCCAGCAAGCAATCTCATAGCTGAAGCTGAAGACATTTTTATTAGGGAACAGGTATGTTGGCTATACTTCCGTGACCTAAAGAATTGCAAATGCTCATCACCACGGTTCACTCTTCCTTTTTTTGGGCTGGATTTCAATTCCCATGGGCCTGTGTGACTCAGGAGCTCTGTCAAGTGCTATCAAGGTGAACATACAGAGGGCTTTGAGAACAGAATGGGGAGGCGTGTCTCCTTTTAAGTGCAATTCACCTCAAGCATTCCAAAGACTCTGCATGTGATCCTTTTTATATAGCAAAGGAGTCAAACTCCCCCCTGGAGGTGGGGGGGACACTTATCAATAACAACAGAGCAAGCGTCTGGAGTTTTAGAAAATGTTTAGTAATCCACTGCAAAACTTAAAAAGAACAAGTATTTACAAAAATGAAGCATAAGATGAATTTCCCAATAGAAATATATTGCTGTCAGAAATGTTAAGTATGAGATTCCTGTGCAATACACAGAGACAGAAAATAATGCAACTATGGGATTATTTTGAATTACAGCAAGTTAAATAGCTTCTCAGTAGCGCAAGATGTTTCCATACTCTATGTGGCATATGTTTACATGAACATGTGTAGTAATGCTTCCGCCCTTCTGCTAAATCCCAAGTAGGTATTCCATATCAATGACAATCATGCACAATTCAGAACAACAACAGGAAACACATTCCTGTATGTTATCTCTTTCATACGGAGTCTGCACTCCCCAAGGAAATATTTCCCAACAGCTTCCATGCAACTGAAATGATGTGGAAATGGGCATCTTTCCTACGTACCTAGTGTGGCTTACATAGTTAAAAGATAAAAAACACAAAACACAGCTAGAAGTATATTTGGTATCATGAACTACCGCCTACAGCAATGTCCTCACAATGATAAGGAAAGACTAGAAAGTGAGTTATAAAAGCTGCAAAACTGCTAATATGTGTCATCATCATTCATAGTGCTTAAGTGTTGCCTTACATACACTAAAAGATAGATCACTTAACACATCGTGTCACCATTCTTCTTCTTTCTGATGTTCGGCCCCAAAGTGCTGTTCCTCATACAGCCAAAATAGCACTAGCGACATAAAAGGGGAAGGTATCAGCAGGGTTTGGGGAACTCAATCATTTGGAAACACAGAAAAATATGGGGGGGGGGGCGCAACAAATGAGACACACACATGCTTGTGCACACGCAGAGAGACCAAAAATTCAAAGGCCTTATAAGAACAAGGCATCCTCAGTAGCCACAGAATGATGACTCCCTTTTGGAGTGGGGATGGGAGGAGAGCAGAGGGAGGAAAAATAGAGAATCCTGGAAAAAGAAGCAAGCTGGTTGCCACACTGAACAGCACTCTACACTGCAAGTCCCACGTGTTATTCTGACACTGAAAATGTAAAAATTCCAGCTGACTGTGTGCACGTAGCTTGCTTAAGGCCATGTGTGGTGAATCCTATGCATGTCTGTGCAAGCATATTCTATTACATTCAGTAGAATTTGCTCTTCTGCAAATTGGTACAGGATTGCAGTTCTGGCAGATTCATGGCTGATGGGAGAAGCAGCTCAGGCAATATCTGACTTATCTCTCATCCTGTTCGCCACTGTGCAGATTTAACTTTTACAATGCCATGTCGAATGCTCTCCATATCAAGGATAATCAGACTATCTATCATTGTTCCTTTTCCATGATTTAACATTGTGATTTGTCCACTATATAGCCTCTCTCAATTTTAAGTTAAATTAATGTCCATACATTTTTTTTTAAAAGAAAATGGTCTTATTTCTTGTCTTTGTAACTCACCTTGGGAGCCTTTTTGGTTAGAAGACAGGATAGAAATTCTTCGAATAATTAAATAAACCACCCCGAAAGAGCTTTAAATCCTGTTTGCTACCCTATCATTTGTGCTTAGTGTTGGTTTCTTAGACTTAAAATCATCTCCAGATAGTAATAGTGTATTTCTAACATTTCTGAGTTTATCTCGCATATCTACATTTGTGCTACCTTTTGCTCCTGCCCAGCAACAACCACCTGTTCCATAGCAAACTATTCATTCAGTTGTGTTTATGCAGCCCACTGCTGTGTGCAAAGGTTTCTGGGCTGTAGTCTCTGATTCCTGAAACCACACGGAAGGTAATGCCATTAGAACCAAAGTAGGACCTCTCTCAAACTGGCTCAAGATTAACCAGGCAAGTGTGCAAGCATGCAGTCCACAAAACCAATACGAATCAAGAAGGATCATTTGCTAGGGGACATTCATCCAGCTAATCACTTGGCAGAAGTTAAACCCAGGCCCATTGCTGGCTCCAGCTTTTTGAAGGCCCTTGAACAATATACCCTTACAGGTCTCCTCTTCATGCATCTAACTTCTCGCCGCCACTGTCGCCAGCTCTTATAACTCTTCCTCTTTTTCATCGTTATTCCTTGCTTACCTGACTGACAGAAAACCAGGTAGCAAGTAGGCAGTGACCTCTACTGCTCCTCTTCTCAACACCACTGTTGTCCGGCCCAGAGTGAGTATCAGGTGAACAAGCAGGCTGCAGTGGTGAAAGGCAGAGCAAGTTCAGGAGGCTCTCATCAGTGAATTGGAGCTGCTGGGATGTAGGCCTTCAGCAGCTTCCCAAGCAGGCCCATCCTAGACAGGGCCTGCCCACAACTTAAGAGAAAAGGAGTTCCCTGGCCCTGTGGTCCTATGTCCTCCCTGGAACTGTCAAGCCCAAGTTTTCTCTATCTAGTTTCTCCATCAGTTTGTGATTACTATTTTTAAGTATTCATGAACATTAGAACCATTAGAACATTAGCATTAGATTAGAATCTTTACAGGAAATTGTACATGTAAAAATTCATATCAATTTCTGTACGCAGCTCATATAAGCATCATTTTGCAACCACATCTACCAATATAAGCCCAAACACATGTATTTTTTTAATTGAAGAACTGCACTGCAAAATTGGGAGGAAAATAGAAATGAGGGCCAAACATCCCAAGGCAGAAAAGATAAAAAAGGGTGAGTGTAGGTTCAAGAGTAAGTATGAGTAGAGCAGCGAAGAGGCTCAGTTTGGACTCTCATAGACCCAAATACTGGGCCCTCCCCTTAGCTATTAAAATGAACAAACCACATTTTGTGCTTTCATATCTTTAATGGAGGGTAGAAGCCTTTCTCTCAACCTCTGTGTGCCCTTTAAACTCTTGATGTACAACTCAAAGGAATATGGATATACTCACTTGCAGAACGTCAGAGATGCTGAAACTGCAAAGCTACATTCCCTATCTTGAAAGGAAGTAGAACACCCTGATGACACCTGGTGAACATTAAAGGCAGCTTTGGTTTCAAAGACAGGGACTCATGAGAAAAACAGAGGTCACACTTGTCAGAGTACTTCTTCCTTTCCAAACACAATTCTTTTTCTTTTCTTTCATGTTTTGACTAACATTATTAATCCTGGAAAATATTTTTCTTCCCTTTGAGTACTTCCTGATGTATGAGCCAGTCTTTTCTGCCTCTTTCCCCATATGGAGAACTTGAGTAGTTGAGATAACTAAGTTGCTCGATTAAGCAGCAAAATAGGCCAATCCCTCAGTGACCCTTGAACGACCATCAACATATTTTCTGTCCTAGCCCAAGAACTAGTTAATTCCAGACATCAACACACATATATGAACTTACTAAAACCATATGGTCACTTGAGGTTACTGTTACATTAGTGGAATTAGAATCCATTTCTCCAGCACAATTGTTGCTTTGTGGTATATAGATGCAATCACAAATCTATAGCGCGCCATCCAGAAACAGAGGAACAGACATCAGAAACCAGAAGAATCAAGTTTCCAGTTTCTTGAAATTGTTCAAAGATACTACTTGACAGAAAGAAACAACTTAC